CATAAGCCGCCGCCAAGGAGTGAGTAGTTCAGACCAGTTTCCAGGATATGTGATATAGGTATAGGTATTTATTTCTTAATTTTAGGTGACTCAGTGAGAGACTCATTAACTTTGTTTCTTCAACACCTTATATAACCCAACTCTTTCTATATTCATTATGAACTCAACCTGTAAGTGCTTCAGGCTATTAAAATGTGTGTATGTTACTCAGTTTCTTTATCTTCTTGTTTTGCCATGGGTCACTATATCTCTAATGTTCTTATTCCAATATCTTCACAATTCTACCATGCTACGTCTGTTTCCTAAAGAGTAATAAATGTTGTTATGTGAAACTTGATAAGATTTTTAAGTTAGAATCTTTGGTTTTCAACACATTTCTAGTCCTTCATATTTTGGAGTCAGTGTTGCAAATTTTGAGTGTTTAAAGACTGTTTGAAGAGAGTCACGTGCCAAGGCTAACCAGAGTTGGCCAGATCCTCATTCATAAGATCAAATGGGAGAACTAATCGCCGTGGGGGGTATTTATGTAGGAGAATCTGCAGTATTCAGAAGAAAATATGTCATCAAAATAATTTATCACCATCTAATTAATAGTAGTTGCTTGATGGGTCTTTATGACCAGTAAATGATTCTGTACCCATCAGGCATTTAGCATTAGTCGCTGGCACATTGTAAGGATGTAATAAATGCTAGTTACTATGATTGGAAAATGGATGTTCTAGGCCAGGATGAAAATGATCTCTTGGCCTTATAACTACTCTCATCTTTAGTGTTGCCTAACCCCAGCCATATATATTACAGAGAGTTGAGATTATAGTCTTGAAGGTTAGAGTATTCCTTCTGGATTTTTATTTTTAAATCATAAGCAGTTGATAATATCCTATTTAAATTCCTTAAAACAGTTAGTTAATTCAGATAATCATTGAGATCATATCATACCTGAGCATTATACGAGGTGTTCAAGAAAGCACTCACACAACGGAGATGACCCATCCTTACCACACAATTGTTTGATGTAGACAGATGAATAAGTCAGTCAGTGCAATGGTGGAGGGCTAGGCTTGGAAGGATGAATGTGGCGGGGCTTCAAGCATGAGCAGAGTCTGCCTTACAGTTATTTCAGCTAAGAAAACATCCAGTTAAAAATACCATGGGACTTTGGCCCTTGCATTAGAGTTCTCTTTACAGCCTTTGGTTCTTTTTATGGCAGTCTGAGTCGGGTTCAGTAACCCTCATAGAGTGTGCTTAAGTGTTTCCTGCCACCAGTGTCAAAATCAGAGTGTATACACAGAGAATTTTTCATAGGTAAAGCTATAGCTGTGGTTCCATTCTATTATTATGGCAGGTGGAAAGCCATAAGAGGTATGTCAGTATATGTTTTGCATCTGTTCTCTTAAAATCAAAACCATTGTGTTCATCAAACTTTTCTCCCTTAACTAGTTATGCTTAATGGCCAGTCTAAAATATGAATAAAGAAAAAATACTTGCAGGGACTTCCCTGGTGGTCCTGTGGTTAAGAATCCACTGCCAATGCAGGGGACACAAGTTCGATCCCTGGTCTGGGAAGATTCCACATGCCATGGAGCAAGTAAGCCCATGTGCCATAATTACTGGAGCCCACGCTCCACAACAGGAGAAGCCACCACATTGAGAAGCCTGAGCACCGCAACTAGAGAGTAGCCCCCACTGGCCACAACTACTGCACAACTGAGTGCAGCAATGAAGACCCAGTGCAGCCAAAAGAAATTCAGTCAGCTGTGACCATGAGTCATCCTGTAAGTTGTAGGTGACTCACTTCAGGTGACTTGTCAGAGGAACGTCCTTGTTAGGGGGCCGGGGGAGGAACCAGGCACCAGGGCCAAACTCCAGTCCTTTTACAACTATGGTAGCACGTCATCATGAACTTTTAACACTTACGAGGTCAAGAATCATTTCCTGTCTGTTACACTCTAAGGATTCAGCAAATATGTGTTTAAGAAACCTGATGAATCTAAGGATTTACTTAGAATTTTAAATTTTTTATTTTTTGAGAAGTATTTTGGTGGCACCAGCGTCTCCATCTGCTTGAACACAGAGTGCAAGGGAGGTGCTTGCATTTGCGTGACAAGATGTCAACTCTAATTCCAGGGTGTGTGTGGCAGATAAAATATATAAAATCTCACATAAATCTATTGGACCTTATTGGCACTTAAACACTTGTCACACAATTCAACCACAAATTGACGTCCAGTCTTAACCAAAAGTATGCCTGAGACAGCTGCTAATTATTCATTGTAAACCTTTTTTCTTCAACTTTTTCCACATGTTGAAAATATTCATAATTCAAAATTGAAAGTGTAGTGTAACAAATACCCACCTGTTTTCCATCAGATTTAATCATTAAACATGTCCCATGTTGGCTTTATTTAGGTATCTATCCGTTATTTCATGTAGATTTCAGGTTGCTCACTCCTGAATACTCAGCATGCTGTTCTTAACAGTAAGAATATTCTTCTGTATACCTACAGTGTCTCCTAGACCAAAGAGCATTCATGAATATTCCCCATTATTTAATACCCAGTCTATATTCAAAACATCCCAGTTGTTTCCCAACTCTGTTTCATAGCTTCTTGTCTAAATAATGATTTAATGAAAGGTTCACATATTACGTTTGGTTGTTAAAGAACCTAGGAATTCTTATCTCTGTGTTAGTATCATTATCTGAAAATAACATTTCTCATTTTACTGTTAAGTAACAAAATTACCTCTACTGTATTAAAAAATTATAGAGTTGCTAACTGTTCACTGATTATTATGTATTAGGACTATGCTAAAGGCTTTATAAATTCTACTGAAATGCTAATTTTTAAAAGTCCAATTGTATTTTGCTATTAACTTTCTTAGAGGAAAGTTAGTTTAAAATGCTTATTTTAGTAAGTTCTATATGATTTACAAACCTATGGTTAATAACATTTACTTTATTTCTAAATAACTCTTATAGGAGCCAAACAAATATTTCATCTAGATACAGGGGAAATGTATTATATATCAGCAAACAAGTCCGCTTTCCTTGGTTCAGATCTAATTTTGTAACCAGTGAGCTTTCCTTGGTTCAGATCTAGTTTTGGAATCAGTGAAAATAGACAAGTTTGTGAAGTGTATACCTGCTATTCTTACCCCTCTCTCTTTTAAAACTTTTCTTTTTGTTGAAGAACTTTGTTGTGGTTTTTTTGTTGTTGTTGTTCAGTAGAAATGACCCCTAATATTTCCTGGAGGTAGGCTGAATGCAATCTTATTCTCTTCTCCTTTTGAATATCAAAATTAAGGTTGACTTTTCTCTTTGCCTCCTTTTATGTTTATTACCAGAAAACTGTATGATTTTAGCTCTTGAATGTTACTCTAATTATTAGTTGTTCTTTGATTGAAAATTTCCTCATTATTAAATAGATTCTGTTACCTTAATAAGTAATACTGGGTACCTCCATGTTGTCACATGAGTGCTAAAGTGTTAAGTCATGGGAAGACATTTACAGATTTATGTTCTGATTTCTATCAAATTTTTTTCTGACATTTCACTGGGAAATCTCATTGCCTCATCTAATCAGAGATAGCATGACTTGAGCTATGCAAACAAAGACGCCATAACTGATGACATTCTTGGAAGTTTTTGCTCACTTACTATTTCCGAACAAATGTCCTTTAGGCACTTGAAGAGTCCAGCTGCCTGAAGAGGAGTGGGAGGGACAGTGGTTACAGCGACATCTGGGGCCCCGAGCGCGGGGAGCTTCTGGCTTCTCCAGGCAACTGTAAGCGGGAGGACTCGTTTGAGAGCTTGGACTCTTTGGGATCAAGGTCGTTCACAAGCTGCTCCTCTGATATCACGTTGAGGGGGGCACGTGAAGGTGAGTTGCATTTTGGACTTGATAGTTTATTTTTATTTCTTAGTGTATTGAGAGAAAACTGGCAATGGGAGAGAGTAGAAAAATGGAGGGAAAATTACTGAGACAAAAACTTCACCAGGAAGTATTTATCGTGGAGACTGGAATAGAACTGAGGGTGTCCTGTCTTTCCTTTCTTCCTTATGTCTCTCCTTCCTTCCTTTTCTCTCTCTCTTTTTCTGTCTCTCTTGTTCCTTCCTCACTGTATTGCCCCTTGAGGGGTGATAGTTTCACTTTTAAAAAAAATCTGTTTTTGGAGGGGATTAGGGCAGCAGTAAAGAATCTGCCTGCCAATTCAGGAGACGTGGGTTCAATCCCTGGAACAGAAAGATCCCTGGAAAAGAAACGGCAACCCACTCCAGGATTCTTGCCTGGGAAATCCCATGGACAGAGGAGCCTGGAGGGCTCCTGTCCATGGATCCTAAAAGAGTCAGACACAACTGCATGACTAAACCACAAGGGAAGAGACAGTTAACTATGACCTGTTTGATCAGCAATAGTCTATCCTATTTCTTTTCCTCCGTATTCAGGTTTAACAATCTCTGCCTCTGAGGCCTAATAATTGATATATCTAGACATAAAAAAGAAAGTAAATAAGATTGTTGTTGTTCAGTAGAAATGACCCCTAATATTTCCTGGAGGTAGGCTGAATGCAATCTTATTCTCTTCTCCTTTTGAATATCAAAATTAAGGTTGACTTTTCTCTTTGCCTCCTTTTATGTTTATTACCAGAAAACTGTATGATTTTAGCTCTTGAATGTTATTCTAATTATTAGTTGTTCTTTGATTGAAAATTTCCTCATTATTAAATAGATTCTGTTACCTTAATAAGTAATACTGGGTACCTCCATGTTGTCACATGAGTGCTAAAGTGTTAAGTCATGGGAAGACATTTACAGATTTATGTTCTGATTTCTATCAAATTTTTTTCTGACATTTCACTGGGAAATCTCATTGCCTCATCTAATCAGAGATAGCATGACTTGAGCTATGCAAACAAAGACGCCATAACTGATGACATTCTTGGAAGTTTTTGCTCACTTACTATTTCCGAACAAATGTCCTTTAGGCACTTGAAGAGTCCAGCTGCCTGAAGAGGAGTGGGAGGGACAGTGGTTACAGCGACATCTGGGGCCCCGAGCGCGGGGAGCTTCTGGCTTCTCCAGGCAACTGTAAGCGGGAGGACTCGTTTGAGAGCTTGGACTCTTTGGGATCAAGGTCGTTCACAAGCTGCTCCTCTGATATCACGTTGAGGGGGGCACGTGAAGGTGAGTTGCATTTTGGACTTGATAGTTTATTTTTATTTCTTAGTGTATTGAGAGAAAACTGGCAATGGGAGAGAGTAGAAAAATGGAGGGAAAATTACTGAGACAAAAACTTCACCAGGAAGTATTTATCGTGGAGACTGGAATAGAACTGAGGGTGTCCTGTCTTTCCTTTCTTCCTTATGTCTCTCCTTCCTTCCTTTTCTCTCTCTCTTTTTCTGTCTCTCTTGTTCCTTCCTCACTGTATTGCCCCTTGAGGGGTGATAGTTTCACTTTTAAAAAAAATCTGTTTTTGGAGGGGATTAGGGCAGCAGTAAAGAATCTGCCTGCCAATTCAGGAGACGTGGGTTCAATCCCTGGAACAGAAAGATCCCTGGAAAAGAAACGGCAACCCACTCCAGGATTCTTGCCTGGGAAATCCCATGGACAGAGGAGCCTGGAGGGCTCCTGTCCATGGATCCTAAAAGAGTCAGACACAACTGCATGACTAAACCACAAGGGAAGAGACAGTTAACTATGACCTGTTTGATCAGCAATAGTCTATCCTATTTCTTTTCCTCCGTATTCAGGTTTAACAATCTCTGCCTCTGAGGCCTAATAATTGATATATCTAGACATAAAAAAGAAAGTAAATAAGATTCTGTAAAAGTGTGTTCTAATTCCTGAATAACTTCCTTTCTTCCCTTTTCTTTTCGGCAAAAGATAAAAAGAAAAAAACTTCTAAGAAAAAACAGGAAAATATTTTAATAATTATCTCTACCCAAGAAAAGAAGTGATTGATATCTGTCTTGATAGAATATCATGCTAAACTTTGGTTGATTAAGGAGCAACACTGGCATTGTGTTAGAAAATATCTTTTGCTTCTATCATGGTCAAAGTCAACCCAGAACAAGTATGAAAGGAACATGTAAATGAAAGTCATTCTGTTATGAGAAGGAGTTTTCTTTCAAAATCCCAATGTAAAATTCATTATTTAAATACAAGTCTTTTTCCTATGGCTGTTGGGTAGTGTCATAAGTTTCTGACTGTAAACCTCTTGTGATTCAAATTTGATTATATTGAAACCATACGTGGTTTCTTGAACTATTTCTGTGCTTCCACCAGCAACGTGAAAATATTGAGAGTCCTGGTTGTGAGTTTGCGCTGGATTGTTAGAGATTTCACCTTGCTTGTTTATTTTGATTATAGTTTTATTTTAAATGTTTTCCTGCTTTTATTATAAAACATTTTCAAACATCAGAAAAGTTGGAAGAAATTTACATGCCTACCTATGTAACTGCTGGGCTTTCTCAGTGGCACTAGTGGTAAAGAACCTGCCTGCCAATGCAGGAAACATAGAGACATGGGTTTAATCCCTGGTTCGGGAAGATCCCTTAGAGAAGGGCTTGGCAATGCATTCCAGTATTCTTGCCTGGACAATCCCATGGACAGAGCAACCTAGTAGGCCACAGTCCATTAGGGTCCCAAAGAGTTGGATAGGACTGAAGTGACTTAGCATGTGCGTACCTGCCACCTAGTTCTATCATAACATTTACCATGCTTGCTTTATTACACACCAAGCTCTTGTTCTCTAGGCATTAATTATCCATTTTATTTTTCAAGGCACTTCAGAATACATTACACTTGTTTCTAAATGCTTTAGCATGCAATCATGAGCTAGAATTAACCTTTTATTACTACTGTTTTCTTAATTAAATTTACATAAGAGCAGTGTATACTGAATTTGTTTTTCCAGGGTAAAATGAATCAGCAAATATTATAAATCCAAATTATTTAGCTTTTTGAATAGTGATAGCTTTTAAAAATTTGAAAAGTGAATGGGATGGGGGAAGGAGAGGATGGGACAAATTGAGAGAGTAGCATCGACATAGATACACTCCCATGTGTAAAATAAATAGCTAGTGGGAAGCTGCTCTATAGCACAGGGAACTCAGCTCCATGCTCTGTGATGACCTAGAGGGGGGGGATGGGGGTGGGGACGGAGGGAGGTTCAAGAGGAAAGGGAATATATGTTTATATAGAACTGATTTACTTCATTGTACAGCAGAAACTAACATAACACTATAAAGCAATTATCTTTCTAGAAAAAATAAAAATATTAAAATTCAAAAACATATTAACAACAAAGAAAAGTGAATGGCTATTTAAGTTAACCTTTTTAATTACTGCTGTATTTGTTGGCTCTTTGTGATCTCGGTGCAACATTTTCATAGCCCAGATGACTCTTAAGATAGTTTTAAGGAAACAAATCTGAGTTCATAATTCATCTGAGTGATTAAAGCTATGAATGCAGAGGTTGAAATTCTCAACCTACTATATTACTTTGGACTGGACTGAAGAACCTAACACGTGCTTTGTTTGGATTTATATCTGGCCAACAATAATAAACCCTGGAGAAGGGAAGGGCTACCTACTCCAGTATTCTGGCCTGGAGAAGTCCATGGACTGTGTATGTGTAGTCCATGGGGTCACAAAGAGTCAGACACAACTGAGCGACTTTCACTTCACAACAATAATAAAAGGGACATGCGTTGAAGGCGTGTGGGGAGTTTATAGCCTCTGGTCAGTTCCCATGCAGTGGTTCAGTGGTGTGAGCCTTCTCCGCAGACTCTTGTTGGGCTGGGTGCCTGGTCCCTGTGACGAAAAGCAGAGGGTTACTGTCATGCTGCTTCCTGATCTTGGGAAAGGAGATGCAGACCTTGTTTGAAGAGGGTGGGAGTGAAGACTTGGTAATTAAAACTAAGGAAGGAAAAAAAATCCTGGGAGCCCTCCAGGATGATAAAACTTCTTTTTTTTTTTGATCATTCTGTTGAAATTCTGCTACCTACACCAGATTGTAATCCCAAATTGATGATCAATAATATTGATGATAAGATAAATATTTTTAGGTTAATAAATTTCAGAGTCATATTCCTAGGTTTTATAGGAAGCCTCTGTTGACGGACAGAAAGAAGTGCAATCTAAAGGCTGAGAATTATGTTTTGTTTAGCAGACTTACTGAGGACTTAGCCCTGAAGACAACCTCTCAGATAGCTCTGAGGGACTGCTTTGAAGAGGTAAGGGAGGAGCCAGGATATATAGGAGTTTCTGCTAAGAGTCAGACATGACTGAGCGACTTCACTTTCACTTTTCACTTTCATGCATTGGAGAAGGAAATGGCCACCTGCTCCAGTGTTCTTGCCTGGAGAATCCCAGGGATTCAGGAGCCGGGTGGGCTGCTGTCTGTGGGGTCGCACAGACTCAGTCACGACTGAAGTGACTTAGCAGCAGCAATCAAAAAACAAAAAAGCCCCAAAACATCCAGGTAGTCAGAACATCAAAAGATTACCATTAAAGAAAAACCAGACATCTCCGGTTATGAATTTCAAGCTTTTCTATGTATAAGAAGATGCTTGGACCGAGCTCACTGAAATCATTCCTTTGAAATGCACCTTCCCTACTGACTCAGACAGCAGAGAGTCTACCTGCAATGCAGGAGACCCAGGTTCAATTCCTGGGTTGGGAAGATCCCCTGGAGAAGAAAATGCCTACCCACTCCAGTATTTTTGTCTAGAGAATCCAATGGACAGAGGAACCTGGCAGGCTAGTGTCCATGGAGTCACAAAGAGTTGGACACAATAGAGTGACTAATACCTTCAACGCTCGCACTTAACTACCTAGGGCTAGTATCCTGTTTTTATCCACCCTGAAGCCTCTCAGGGCACACAGTCATGGATGGCTGCAGTGGCTGATGGCTTGATGCCTGAAACATCCTTTGTTTATTGATGGGACAGGTGATCGTTTTCATCCATATCTCTTGCCGTATCAAGAATATTTGCCTACTCTCCAGCATACTGTAGTGGACTAAAAACTATTAACTTAAAAAATTTCCAAAGCAGAACTGTTTTTATATTTAAAATTTTACATGTACAAAATTTTAGTAAGAATCTTGACATTTCTCTCTTACTTACAAAAATTGTTTTCATTTTGGAGGCAGTAAAAACAAAGCACCAGATTATTGACTATTAATATTTCCGGTGATACCTGGTTTCCCTGTTCTGGTCTCAAGGTCTCCTAGCTGTGTGTTCAACTGCTTCCTGTAGGTTTCTCTCAGTGTTACTCACTGTAGACTCCTGCCAGCCAGGGAAGAGGGGACAGACTGCCTTTGGCTCAGGTTAACCTGGAGGTGTTCTTTTGCTAAGAGCAGGTGACTCCCAGGTCCTTAGCTACCAATCTACCGAGGACTGTGGCATTTGCAACTTTCCTTCACAAACACACAGAGGCAGGAAAAAAAGGGCAGCAAGGGAGACGGCTCAGCTGTATCTATAATGTTTTGTACCTTCATTTCTTCCCATGTATTTAAAAGGACAGACTGGCTTTTTGTTTTGTTTTGTTTTGAGAACAGAGTAGTGTTTGTAGTTATCTGACCTTGAGGTGTATCAAACTGTATTCTTTCAGATATGTGCATAAATGATATGAATCAAAATAGAAGGTTCCCCATATTTCTGTGACCACTGTCAGAAAATGCCTTGAGTTCTGTGGTCTCTTAATATTCCTTTAGGACTTTAGGAGTCATTTGGTCCAACCGCATATGTTATGTGTGATTCTTGCTCATAAAGGGTCTCATAAGTATCTGTCAAATTTCTTTGTGATCATGTGCTTTTTGCATCTTTTCTTTGTCTTTCTTGGTCTCTGGCCTCACAGAAATTTTGGATGATGACACAGTTTATTTTAAATGACTGAGGTTCCCTTGAAGTCTGTTCAGATCTCATGTTAGGCATCTTTGATTCTGTGGCTGCACTATATCTACATGTATTCCATCAACAGATTTTACAAAAAATCATGAGAAGATTGAGTAGAAAAGGGGTTCAGCCATAAACTGGAGCTTTTTCTGCTTAGAATGTGTACCATTCTAAGAATGGAAGAGGGTACTGTGTGTACCTCCAGTTTGCAAAGCAAGTTCCTCCTAATGGGTCTTATCACAACTTCGTGACAAATTTCTAAAAATATTCCCCACAGTGAGCAGTAGAGCCCTGGGTTTCCAAGGGAAAGACAAAGCAGGCAGGCTGTGTGGGTTTCAGTTAGATGAAAAATCTGGAGACTAAAGCAAATTCCTGTGCCTTTTTTTTTTGTTGTTGCTAATAGGTTGTGAAAGTGACACAGATTCTGAATTTACATTCAAAATGCAGGACCATAATAAAGATGATATGTCCTATAGAAGGATTTCGGCTATTGAACCCAAGTCTGCCTTACCCTTCAATCGCTTTTTACCCAACAAAAGTAGACAGCCGTCGTACGTGCCGGCACCCTTGAGGAAGAAAAAGCTGGACAAAAATGAGGATAACAGACGAAGCTGGGCAAGCGCCGTCTACACAGAAGCAGATGGAACGTTTCCAAGGTACTGGGATGCGAGCTGATTACTGAGTTTTAAAATTCATTCGGCTTGGGGAATTTGCTGGGATATTTAAATTTGGTAAAAGGAATAATTCTTAAACTGTATTTCATACATGACATAAAACTTCATTAATGAGAATCTTTCTTGTTCTTACCTGTGTTTTTAGTCATCCACATCTTGAAGAGGTTTCTTCCGTTTTAGAATGTCAGTATATGATTTGCCGGTTCTTTTTTTAGGTGCGTGCCTTTAACTCATGGTTGTCTTTCAGCTTCCTGGATGGCTTACATTGTTCACTGTGACTCTGCAGTGTTGCTTGTTTCCATTTTTTAAAAATCTGTGTTGATGGAGCTCAGTGAACACAAAAAGAATTCTTTAATTTCCCATCAAATCAGCAGAGCAGAGCGTGATTTTTCGAATCCAGCTTCCTATCCGACGGAGGTGTATGGTTCTGAAAGTGGATCCGACTCGGAGGAGGAACGGAGGCTGCCGGATGTAGTTTGGGATGACTTAGCCAACCGTAGATTCCAAGTGAAAAAGAGGCCTGAGAGTTTCATCTCTCCTAAATCTTGTACACCCATCTTTTCTCCTGCTGACCCATTAACCACTGGGCTGTACAAACTGATGAGGTCAGAAAAATTTCTCCTGGATCGGAATGCCTATTGTGCTATTGATTTTTAATACATAAAGTAACACTCCAGATGGTTTGCGATTTGTCTCTCTCTCTTAACACATTTTATAAGTGTCTCTAGCCCTTCTGTATCAAGCTCTTCTCTAATTAAAATGAGATGCTGTTATAATGCCTTAACTTTGTTGTAGGGTCTGGAATGATGAGAATGATGAGAATGGAAATGAATTGGCTGCATTCACAGTGTGAACTTTGTGAGACAGAAAGCATGCCTCTTGTGTTCTGTGTCACAAATTGCTCACGCAGTGTCTTAACTGGTTGGATGTTTTGAACAGTAACGAGAGGAGAACTTGGGGCACAAACGTGGAGAACTGGCCAACAGTACAAGAAACTTCAGACTCCTCTTGTTATTTGGAAGAGAACGAAGACAAGAGAAGTGTTCCCAACACTGTAAAGGATGATCTTTACGTGCGAAAGCTAAGCCCAGTCATGCCAAGCCCAGGGAATGCTTTTGATCAGTTTCTTCCCAAATGCTGGATCCCAGAGGATGTGAACTGGAAACGAATAAAAAGGGAAACTTACAAACCGTGGTATAAAGAATTTCAGGGATTCAGGTTTGTCTTTGTGCATGTTTCTTTCATTCCAGTGTCCATTCAGTACCCTAACTGGGTGCATTCTCTGTGGGCATTTTATGAGAGAGATTAATTTCCCTCTAACATCTGTAAATGTGCTCACTGGAAAAAAAAAAAAAACACTTTGAATTTAGACTTTAGGATCTGGATTTTAAAAAGTCTTCTATACAGCCAGAGCTGGAGAGTATTTTTAGTTACATCATTCTTTGTTGTCTTTTCTTTCCTTTCTCTGTGTTACTCCAAGTAGAAGGAATTCAGACTCTGACGATGAGGATTCAGGCTCTGACAGAAGCTCCACCATTTTTAGTAGAATACAAAAAGCAGATCCTAGGCTAGACAGCAACTGTCAAAGACGTTCACTGTTGCTGGAACTGGCTACCAAACGGGCCAGAAACTCCTGGGACCCCCATGCAGCCAGGAGAACCCGTGGTGCTTCAGATGAGCCCAGGTGTACCTGCCTGCATGAACCCGCCTGCTTGGAGTCCAGCCTGTGACACGTGCCAACTTCCACTGCCCCATTAACTGCTGACCGTGATGAGCTGAATCATGGCCGCTCACTCACTTAATACTGAGATATGAAAGCGTAACATATAACATCATGCTTTCTGTGCAAGCGTGTGAGCTTGAAAGTCTAATAGGATTAAATATTCTTTAGCTCAATCATGTTCAATAGTACAGAGTTACATGTGGCATCATCAGTTCTTGTTGAAAACCATTTAAAAAGGCTCTTTAGACTGCTGACCTAATTATACAGCTGTGCTATGTGTGGAGTTGTGGAGAAAGGAAATAACCTGTAGACAGACACTGGGACAGGCAAGACTGGTGAGAAAACGCAAAGAAGAAATTCATCAGAGCTTTTTAAACAAAGCTTCAGAGCGCTGAATTTAATTTCTGCTGACCACCTGTGCCTCTTGCATAAAGCGTTTATTGCTCAGCTCTGGAAACCTTTCAAGATCGTTGCTGCTTCTCCGGGAAGGGAGTCAGGCCGTTGTGGCTGATGGGATGAGGAAGGGTGGATGGAGCACTGTGTGTGTCGGGCAGCTTCACCGTCTTCCCACTCTAGCGCCATCCCTTGGCCTCAGTGATATCCGCCTTTCCTGAGAAGTAGACTCTGCTCTAATTTCATTAAATGGTATCATGGGCGATGGCATTAAATGCTGGTGTTACTTCCCAGCTAGAATCCCTCCCATGGCCCTCTTAAATAATTCACACACAGGGACTGGCTAGTTAGTTGGTCTGCTGCTAATTACCTTTTCTCCCCAAACTTAATAAGATTCTTCCTTGCTTTTTCTTTCCTATGCTTCAGTCAGTTTTTATTGCTTCAGGCCCTCCAGACATATTCTGATGACATCTTGTCTTCTGAAACAAATATCAAAATCGACCCCACGGCTGGCCCCCGGCTTATAACACGCAGAAGGAACCTCTCTTATGCACCAGGGTGTGGACCAGGAGATGCCCTGGAGATGCCAGTCCTGGATCCCGACTTAGAGAATGACGACTTCTTTGTCAGAAAGACCAGGGCTTTCCACGCAAACCCAGGAAAAAGTGCAATTCCATATTTGCACGTCTCAAAATCACTCCTCTGAGACCTGTTTAAGAAGGTGTGTATCCGCAAACAGTGCCCTTGGCCTGGAGGGAAGACTATGATATGCTTCTGCCATATGACGTTTCACAAAGCTGTTTTCTGATTATATTTACAAGACTTTTATTCTCACGTCCAGGCATTTCTGAAACACTCTGCTTGTAGTCTGGTTTTATCTGTTTCTTGTATTTCAGAGTACATGATTTTTGGTGTAAAAATTTCCCTTAAAAATATGGCATTGCAAGTTTCATCTAACTTGATTTTGATGTCTGATTTTGACCCAGGCTTCTTAGACTATTGACGTGCGACTTTTTACATTGATGGTTTAAAGTTCAGTGCAAATTTTATTACAGTGCATGAATGTTATTTGCTGTCTGCTACACTTTACATGTATGTAATTATGGCCATTTTGATAATGAGTCTGCATTTATGTGTTATGCAACTTGCCGTTTTGATGAATGTTCAGTTTGTGGAACTTTGGGATGGACAAATAATGGGTTAAATGAAATTAGTAGACCTAAATCTAACTTCTTATTAGTTCCTGGCACAGGAAGTTTTTTGTTTGTTTGTTTCCTAAATGAATTTGTTCATTTGGTTTAAAGGAAAACAGGAAATTCTTTATCTTGATCTGAATTCCTTGAGATATGAGATCAATGAGAATTTGAGACATGATCAAGAATGTGACTGAAGAAGCAACCTTTTGAGATTTGTCCATCTCTAATTAGACTCTTGAAGATGTTGAATATTTAGAAACTAACACAACTAGAAAAACATGACTTAATTTTTGGTTTTCTGATTTCTTAGACTCTTTCAAAAGATTTATGGTGAGAGCGGGTAAGTTTTATGGTTCACAGTAAAAAAAATTTACACATTGTTTGTCCTTTGTGTGGTATGTCATTGCATTTCTATCCTGGCATGACACTACATGGGGATGTCTGTGCTGTGCATGAGACCTAGAACAGGGAAATTTTTCCTAATTCTGCAACTAAATGGTCATATTTCTGTCTGAGTACCCAGTGCATGCAATGCTGTATGACAGCAATATTTTGTTTATTAGAAGTTGAAAATTCAAATCCTGTTTTTTTTTTTTCCCTCTAAGGAGTTGATTAAAAGTCACAAAAACACATGCCTGAGATTAGGTTTATTTATTTTGGTATCTGATAGCTACATAGGCCCAACCTCTCATTTCTGGATGTTGAAGCCCAAATAACTATATTTTAGAAAATCTTCAATGGAAAAAATATATTGGTGTTTACTTTGAGTTTAGAAGGCATGCGGTTGGCATTATCTGTGTACTCTTAGTTCAAGGAGAGCTTCCTTAGTTGGGATGCTGAGTGGCATTATTTTCCCTCAGTAAGATTTGGAAACATTTTCAAGATTCCTGACTAGGGTCAGGAATTTTATAACATAGCTGTGTTATAAAGCCAAATCAGACTTCCAAAGCTGCAAAAAATTAAAATATTGGTAGTTTCCATGTAAGCTACAAGGATTATACTTAAAACTGTTCCCAGTTTTTTTCTGTAGTTGACCCTCTGTATCTGGGAATGCAGCTCCCAGAACAAGTCCTCTTGGATATAAAGGAGTTGATTGTTGTGTCATTTGACTCTGTCACCTGGCAGACATAAAATATTATACAAACAACCTTCTGGAAATATTTCCCATTTTTCGAATAGCAAAATTAAAACAAATACTTTCTAACTTTTCATATGCACTAGCAGTGTAGACTCATTCACTTATTCTGCTTAGGGCAGAATACTCAGGTGACTACATCTTAATATTTTATGTCAACTTTCTGTAACGTTGTGAACCCAACTGCTAATAGTTTTTGATCAAGAAGAAAATTGAAGTATGACAAATATTTTCATCTGCCTAAGCCTTAGGAGCTAAGTATCTTCCCCTACTAGAACTTACTTCATCTCAAAGGTTCTCTAATTTTGATAGTTTTGGATAATTTTGAGAGTGTGGAGATCTAGCTGCTGCTGCTGCTATTAAGTCGCGTCAGTCGTGTCTGACTCTGTGCAACCCCACAGACAGCAGCCCACCAGGCTCCGTGGAGATCTTAGAAGTTACTAAAATCACTTGTTGAGTAGCTCAGTCCTGTCTGACTCTTTGTGACCCCATGGACTGCAGCATGCCAGGCCTCTCTGTCCCTCACATCTCCCAAAGTTTGCTCTCATGTCCAACCATCTCATCCTCTGTCACCGCCTTCTCCTCCTGCCCTCAATCTTTCCCAGCATCAGGGTCTTTTCCAAGAGTCAGCTCTTTGCATTAGGTGGCCAAATTATTGGAGCTTTAGCTTTAACATCAGTCCTTCCAATGAATATTCAGGGTTGATTTCCTTTATGATAGGGAACTAAAATCAACTAAATCAACTAAAATCACTATATAAAGCAATCTAGCCATTCTAGATGTCAAGGGTGTGATGGTACAATGAGCCACTAATTGCCAGTAGTTCTCAGCCACTAATGTTAAAAATCAAGCTCTAAGCATGCTTTCAGTAGGCCTTGCAAAGGCACGTTATCTCCTATCTGGTTCCTCATGTGTGCTTAAAACATCTCCATCAGGAGGGTGTACGAGGCAATTTTTAGCATGACACTTGAGCATCTGCTAATCTCGATTCGTCATGGGAAAGCTGTTTTGATAAAAAATCTTTACAAACACTTTGAGTGATAACTTTCAGAAGAATTTTCATTGGTAAATAAGACTTTATAATGTAAGCAGGTGTTTTTTCTTAAAGGAAACGTGAATACACTGAGTCCAAGTACTTGATGGAAATGTAAACCTGTATAGCTGTTCCAGCGACTGTACGTGTTCCCGCTTAGGGACGCATTGTGTGACTGGTTTAAGAAAAGGAGAGAGAGACCCAAATGCCGAAGCTCAGCAAGCTAAGGATTTTTTTGGGCCCTAGCCAGCAGCAGCAAATGCCTTCTGTAGACTGTTTCAAGATTGTTGCTTGCATAGTACACTATTTGTTTTAAATGCTGTTCCCCATGCAGCTAACTGCCAGGGTAACACCAATAAAGTGAGGTTATCTATAAATGGAGACCAATGAATAATGCATGACTTGTTGAATAATGGAAAGTAATACAGATAGGTCTTCAGAAAACTCAGGTGCATTTTAGACCACTTGCAATCAAAAATCTATTATTTGGGATTAAAAAATTTTCTCTGTTACCAGTTTTTTCTTAAGTTGATCTGCAATGAAAACAAAAATTTAAATTGAATTGAGTATAGACTTTTAGTCTAGAATTTGTCTCATGTTTATAAATATGTTTGTGAATGATTATAAACATGAAACAAGTGATATTTCTGGGTGGTATTTCTCTGGACATCTTGCTTGCTTTCCAGTGTGGAATACCTCCCTGGAAAAATCATTATTGCTCAGTAGCCTGTGATGGAAAATAACTGCCTGTAACATGAACGCTTTCTTTTTGGTGAGAACCAAAGAGTTAAAGAGAAATGCGCATCACCCTTTCCAGCCTCAGATGGTTTATTTCTGGCTTGCTTTTTAATTTGGCATTGAACACTTGTCACTTTATTTTTAGTAAGATGCTTTGTGTGTGGCTGTCATTTTCTCACGTGTGCTTTTGTGTTGCATGACTTGTCATATGGTTCCATGACATTTGAAAATTTGGTTATGATGCCTCTTGGCAGAAGCTGTTAATGGCAAAGAAATTTGTAATGGTATATAGCTGTAATTTTGTAATGTGGTTAATTAAGCCATGGCATCTACTGCCAGTATCAACAGGAAATGAACATTGATTCAAGGTGAAGTTATAATCAAAGACAACTAAGACTTGTATTTTACTTACGGGTTTTGGCCAAAAAAAAATTCTGGAGAACTGTAAGGGCACCTGGACTTCCCTGATGGCTCAGTGGTGAAAGAATCTGCCTGCAATGCCGGGGACCTAGGTTCGACCCCTGGGTTGGGAAGATCCCCTGGAGAAGGACATGGCAGCCCACTCCAGTATTCTTGCCTGGGAAATCCCATGGACAGAGAAGTCTGGTGGGCTGCAGTCCATGGGGTTGCGGAGAGTCAGACACGTCTGAGCAGCTAAAGAACAATAAGGGCGCTTAAGACAAAAACAGGAAGGAAAAACCCAGTCAGTGTGAGTTACTTTCTGAAGATTTTGCCACCAGGAGACATTCAGCAATGTTGTAGACATTTTTGATTGTCACGTTGGATGGGTTGAGGCAATGTTGCTACTGATATACTGCTATATGTTCTACAATACACAAGACTGCCCTCTACAATAAATAATTTTCTGGCCCCAAAATGTCAGTAGTGCTACTGCAGAGAAACACCGATAATAGACTCTAAACCTATAAAGGAAAAGTCTCATATGTTGTCTTATCAGTATAATTTATGATAATTCTAAAGTCTCTTTCCCAGGTTTTAGTATTGATTTGTGTTCAGAGAATTCCTGCAACAGTTAATGGAAATATATGTACAGGTACATAGATATATTCATATCTTTGAAAGTGTAGGACCCCAAACTAAGTATCATGGAATTGCTGTTTGTCATATAAGATTATCAGTGATTTTATATTTAGGAAATTTTGCTACATGTCAGTCCTTTTTGATCCATTAGTTCTTAGATATTCATCTGTAAATTTCCTGAGACTTTTTTTTACAAAAATGCTCATTGTAACACTAGTCCCAGCATTGTGGGAAAAAAGAGTAAGATTTTAGTGATCTTGTTTTATAATCTACTCTCCTTTTTCATAAACTTCCCCTTCTTTCTCTCTTCACCCTAAGTGCTATTTTTCTTTTTTTAAATTATTCACCTGAAAATGCAGCATGTTAAACCTGTATTTTTTTTTGGAAAAAGTCCAAATGTGGTTCTAAATCAGAATCTTTCCAAATAAGGAAATACAAAGGTAAATGAATTGCAAGAGAATTGTGATTTGCCAGTGAATAGTTATTCATTCTACTGATACAAAACGTACTAGGGCTATGTAGTCCTTTATAGTTTTCCCAAATAATCTTCCTGGGAATATCCATGGGACTTATTTTGGGGAGGTAGTCAGGTTGCGTTTTAGAGACATGGAGAAAGAAAAATAGACTCTGTAGTTTTCCCAAGGATCTGCAGCTCCTGAGTTGGTAGAACCAGACTAGAGCTTCGTATAATGAGGTAATTGATGGATGGAGACTGCTGGGCAGTCTTGTTGGCACATAGTAAGCCCTCAGAAGTTTGCTATTATGCTGTTAACTCTGATAAGGAAGGAAAGAATTCTTCGTGATCTGGCTGAAAGGCTCCTACACTCAAAAAGTTCTCGATTTTATCAGTGGGGCCTGGGGTGACCTCTCTAATTTGAAACTGCTTTGGGAGTCAGTTTTCAGTAGATCTCTCATGATCATATTTGCCTTAATAAGAACAGTTGGTGTATAGCACCAGATGGGTTTTTGAAATGCCATCAACATAAACTGACCCGTTTTTCCCAGCAACTCCTTCCTGGTTTAGCCAGATGAGGAACTGAGACTGAGAAGAGTTAAATGATGATCAGGGGTTGGGTCGGGTGCGGAGGGAGGGAGTGGTGAAAATTAAATCCCTCTGCTGGGTCTCACTTCCTGTCTCATTCTGGTGCCTGGCACAGCCTGTTCGGAATGTGCCAGGCTTTCAGGCTTTCTTAAGTTAACTGGATCCTAGGGAACACAGGGGGCTCACATTCCTGCCTTCCACGGGGACCTGTCTACTCCAGCCAGTGTTTGGCTCGTTTATTTATATTGGGGACCACTGAGGGCTTTCCTGGTGGCTCAGATGGTAAAGAATCTGCCTGCAATGCGGGAAGTTTCTATCTCTGGGTCAGGAAGATCCCCTGGAGAGGGAAATGGCAACCCATGCCAGTATTCTTGCCTGGAAAATACTGTGGACAGAGGAGCCTGGGGGGCTACAGTTCATGGGATGGCAAAGAATCAGACACAACTGAGAAACTAACACTTTCTATGCCCCAGGCTCTGCTGTGGGCGCCCCAGGAGGGTGTGAGCCTCTACTCCATGATGAGGGTGTTTTCCGAAAAGACACATGTTAAAGCTTCCCAGGAAGTGAGGGTGCGGACTGAGAGGGTCTGGACCTGTTGAGACTGGTCAGCCTTCCTCCCACCAAAATATTACTTAAAATGCTTATGTTTCCAATTTTGTTCTGGAATTTCTGTAACCTCATATGTTGGGCATCCAGATTTCCCTCATACCTTAGAGCTGAAAAAAAATCTTTTTAGTGAGTTTTGTATTGTATTAGCTCATATAGCCTGATTCTTTGCAGTTACAACTTAAGTGAATTTATATTCTCAAATCAGGTTTTTATATAGTCATACCCCGTTAAGTGGGCTTCCCTGGTGACTCAGTGATAAAGCATCCACCTGCTATGCAGGAGATGCAGGTTTGATCCCTGGGTTGGGAAGATCCCCTAGAGGAGGGAATGGCAACATTCTCCAGGCAAGAATACTGGAGTGGAGCTGTGTTAAGAATATACCCTGGTGGAAGCTAGGAGGCTGATGATTCTAATAATCCAGGCAGGAGATAGGATGATTTGGATCAGGGTCGTGAAGATGGAGGTGGTGAGAAGGGGTCACCCCCTAGATATATTTAGAAGGTAGAGGGGCAGAAATTCCCTATGGGATCAGCTACACGTGAGAGAATAAGGAATCTGGAATGGCTCCAAGATTTCTGGCCTGTGTCCTGGAAGGATGGAGTTGGCTTTTATTGAAATGAGGAAGATGGGAGATGAGTGGATTATGGGATGAACGTGGATGGTAGGATGAGCAGTCCTGGTCTTGGTCTGTTCAGTGAAGTTTGAGTTGCCCATTAGACTTCCAAGCAGAGAGTGAACAGTTGCATACATACAACCAGACTATGGTAAAAAATCTGCTTGCAATGCAGGAATCCCAGGTTCGATCCCTGGGGTTGGGAAGGTCTCCTGGAGAAGGTAATGGCAACCCACTCCAGTATTCTGGCCTGGAGAATCCCGTGGACAGTGGAGTCTGGTGGGCTACAGTCTATGGAAGTGCAAAGAGCTGGATGCAGCTAAGCATGCACAGACACACACAACCAGACTGTAGTCTCATAGGGATCCTGAGGAATAAGTGGCATTTAAAAAGGAATATATACTGTTGAAAGGGCTTTTAAGTTGAAGGGAAGAGTTCAGGAAAGACCTTCACTGCATCTGGAGGCTGAGTGATAATTTAAGAAGCTTTTTAAAAAGTCTGATTAAGAGTTGATTGTGCCCTGATCTAGGGTGTTGGCAACAGAAATGGAAAGAAAAAGACACTGAATAAGAGGACCTGATAACTAATTGAACATAGGAAGAAGGGAGAGACAAAGGTGAAAAATGGTTCTCTGATTTTAAATGTAAATGACTGGAGGGCAAGTAACACTATAAACAAGAGGAAAAGCAGGTTTGGAGACAAAATTTTTGGCTATATCATGTAGCCAAATAACCATGCATTTATAGTCATATGACTTACCACTTAACAAAATTCTTTCTAGATACTGTTTCCATTGATCCTTTTATAATGGAGATTCCTAGGGGACATCCATGCAGAGATGTTTATTTAACAAGAGGTTGGAATTGATGCAGAGAGACTGGTCCTAGGCTATGGATTTGGGAGTCACTGGCATAGAGATCGTTATTGAATTCCTGAGCTAGCTGGGCACGTGTGTTATTAAAAAAGTGTGGTGATGGCAAAATCTTGGGGAAGGCAAATTTAGGGGCCCAAGAAAGAGATGCAAAACTATTTAAATAAAAGGGGAGTCAGTTACAATGAAATAAAAGCAGAAGTGGTAGGAAAGAACATTTTGGGTACCCCACACTCAAAAGCTTCGTGTCTCTTCACTCCTCAATATGCAGATCTGACCTCTCTTCCAGGAGGTCTGCCTCAGTTTCCCCTCCTCTGATGTGTGTATAGCACACACTCCCGGGCAACACCGTACTCTACTCAAAGTACCCTAGTTTGAGCTCTTTGAGACTTACTCCACATTACATCCTCATGGCAGCAGTCACACGTGGGCAAAACAAAAACTGCCTTAATACAAAAGAGGATTATAATAGAGGTTGTATAGTAACTGACTGTGGTCTTTGAGACCGAGCACAGTGCAGTGGCGGGCAGATCTCTGTAGAACCCTTGAGAAGCAGCCGCAGCAGCACATGTCTTCATGGCATTGAACTTGAGGAGAAAATATCAGGTAATCTTTAAATAATTTAATAAGTACTCAGAAAAGGCAGCCAAACCTTAAAAGATTATCTCTGGGGGAGATAAAGATAGGTGATTCTAGGGACTGATAATTTTTTTTCTCTAATGTAATCTTTTTCTGCATTGACTCCCCGAAATAAGAACATCAGATTATTTTTTTCAGCATGGTTCAGGGTTCATTTAGCCATTCTGTGAAAGAATTCACATTTGACTGGAGTGCTAGGCTCTAGTTTCTGCATTTTGGAAAAACACCATTTATCTCTGTAGTGCTATTTCTGTGATATTATCACGAAAGCATCTAGGTAGTACCGCAGAATTGTAGATGGAATTTCCAAATATAAGTCCAACCTTCCAGTTTTAACCTTGAATCCGGTTCCACGAACCTTGGTTACCATGGGTATTTTTGTCTTAGGAGTAAGTCCATGAGTGATGTCAGCGCAGAGGATATTCAGAGCTTGCGTCAGCTACGTTACGAGGAGATGCAGAGAATCAAGTCCCAGTTAAAAGAACAGGACCAGAAATGGCAGGATGTGAGTACGCTGCTTATTGGGAGATGGGGAGGATGTGTTTGTTGGCCTTTTCTTTCTTCTCCAAGAAGATAGTCAGTATACTCAAGGGACAATTTTTCTTGCTATGGCAGATTACAGTTCCATAGAAAATATGAGCAACTCCCTTTAAAAAAAAGTTTTAAACCCTTCTGCTCTATTTGTTGTATCTTAAAGGCCATTGTGAAACACAAAAGCTCTTTATCTTCTGATATTTTCTGTGGGTTCTCAAAAATGAGAAGCTGCTTCCTTGCAGTGTAGGTAACTTGTTTACTTGCACTGATGGTTGCATCTGGGGTATGACCGTTAGTGATGCTCATGAAGGGGAAGACTTTGCTTAAGGTTTAGGAAGAGCAGGGGACCAGTACAGAGACTGGGGATCAACAGGGAGAGATCAAAGTGTTCTTAGAGTTAATAGAGAAGGTTTGGGGAGAAATGTGAATAATAATTCAGTACTATTTTGGTTAAAAAAGCAGTTATCGAATGTGAATCAAAATAAGATGTTTTCACAGAGCTGATGTCTATTTGGATAAAGATTTAATCTTTAGTTTTGTCCCTGGCAGAAGAGAGCTGTGCCTTTTTTTAAAAGGGTCAGTTGTTATAGGCCAAAGTAGTGTAGGACTTCCCTGGTAGCTCAGCTGGTAAAGAATCTGCCTGCAATACAGGAAACCTCGGTTCGATTCCTGGGTCGGGAACATCCCCTGGAGGAGGGCATGGCACTCCAGGATTCTGGCCTGAAGAATTCCATGGACAGAGGAGCCTGGTGGGCTGCAGTCCATGGGGGTCACAAAAAGTCGGACATGACTGAGCGACTTTCACTTTCATTGACACCTATACACTGTATATATTTATGGGCTTCCCTGCTGGCGCTGGTGATAAAGAACCTCCCTGCCAATGCAGGAGACATGTCCCACTCCAGTATTCTTGCCTGGAGAATCCCATGGTCAAAGGAGCCTGGCGGGCTACAGTCCATGGGGTCGCAGAGTTGGACATGACTGAGAGATTTTCTCTTTCACAGTTCACTCTCAAAGGATTCTAAGGGGCTTCCTAGGTGGCGCTAGTGGTAAAGAATCTGCCCGCCAATGCAGGAGCCACAGGAGACGCAAGAGATTGGGTTCAATCTCCCAAGTCGGGAAGATCCCATGGAGTAAGAAGTGGCACCCCACTCCAGTATTCTTTCCTGGAAAATTCTGTGGGTAGAGGAGCCTGGCAGGCTACGGTCCGTGGGCCACAAAGGGTCAGACATGACTGAGAGACAGCCCAGCACCCAGCAAAGGAGTGTAAAGATTTATGATAGATAAATTATATACAGCAGACCCAGAGAGATCTGAGGACAACTCTATGGTAAGAGGGTTGAGTGGTAGCATGAACAGAAGGGTCACAGATAGTAAATCTTAATTTTCAAAGGAGTTAAATGTTAAGTAACAAAGATGAAACCCTTGCTTTGGCCATGTTTCTAAATGCCACTTCTTCTTTTATTTGGGAGCTCAATGTCATTGTCAAGAAACATAAATCCAGTGTCAGTTTGCCAGAATACATGGTGATTGGAGATGAGAGAGAGAGATACAGAGGGGTCATCCCTTAGGCTCAGTCAGGTGAAAATTCATGCTAGTGCTCCCACAGTCTTTCAGGACTGATGCGCACTACTTTTGTTCTTTCCGGAAATAGTTCATATTGATTTCAGGCTTTTTTTTTTTAAGCAGGAATGGCCCTGCCTGCTCCCAAAGGGTGTAAACCAAACCCATTTTATGTGCCTGGGGTGGGTGGGGGGTGAGGTTTTCTTTTTTTTTTTTTTTCAGTCTGGGACTTTGCAGAAGGCTGCAGTGCCACTAGCAGTTCTCGGCATGTGACTTCTCTGGGTGGGACAGGGAAGTTGGTACCATCCAAACTGTCCTAATCCCCTGAATGTCAGAACCAGTTTAGGCCGCCAGGACTAATTTTAAAGATGAATCAGGTCGAGTGTCCTGGGGGTCACCCCCAGGATGTATCCTGGATGGCTGTATGGAAAGAGATGTCCACTGCTTCCTGTGTGATCTTCCTTATTGCCCTGTCCTTATGGGGAGTTTAACTGCTTTGAAATCAAGTTCTTGAGCCTTTTTGTTCAATCGCTCAGTCATGTCCGACTCTTTGTGACCCCATGGATTGCAGCACGCCATTCTTCCCTGTCCTTCAGTATCTCCTGGAGTTTGCTCAAACTCATGTCCATTGAGTCAGTGATGCCATCCAACCATCTCATCCTCTGTCTGGCTTCCCCGTTAAAGCCTTTCTACACTTGGCCCTCCCCTCCCAGGGTAGAATTGACCACTCGTTCCGTACACCCCTGACTCTCTCATGCAATCCTTCAAATTCGTTGTTGAACTTGATTTACCTGTCTGTCTTTCCCCTCTAGACTGAGAGTTCCTCTAGAGGAAGCACATTGTATTCGTCTGTGTGTTTGTGGCCCCGTTGTCTCCAAGCAGGGACCGATCTCTGTATTTGTTCCATGTGTGTGTCTATACTTAGCCATGTTACAGTCATGTTCTGTTCTAGTTTGACTGATGAAACATGTCATTTCACGTAAGAACCAGATGATTGGAACGAGATGAAAATAAATTTGAAACAGTTCCCAACCTTTCTGACCTGGCATCTCATTACAAGCGTTTAGTATTCTTTGTGAAATGGGCAGCAAGGCAGGCACTACCTGGGAAAACAAAAATGGGGTCTATCTTATTAGGTCAGGGCTTTTAGACAGACGCATGAGATAAAGGCTCGGTACAGAAACGCTGGCTATAAAAAGCAAAATTAGGGCACCTTGGCATCAAGTTGGAGTGAATAGTTTTAGCGACGTAATGGGATCCTCTGGCGTGCACTCACTGCTGGAAAGGGTGTGTAGAAATTCAGGTGTGCCTGGGCTGACGTGATTTGCCTCTGTCAGGACCTTGCAAAATGGAAAGATCGTCGGAAAAGCTACACTTCGGATCTGCAGAAGAAAAAGGAGGAGAGAGAGGAGATTGAGAAGCAGGCTCTTGAGAAGTCGGAGAGAAGATCTAAGACATTTAATGAAATGCTACAGGACAGGTAATGAGACTGAATACATCTCAGGGTTGGGGGAACCAGTGTTAGATATTTTGTGTAAGTGTTGTGAACTGTACTTGTGCACCAATATTAGACTGTCATCAAATATGCATAAACCTTTGACTGTTTTGCTCTGCAGTGAAAAAGCAAAGTACTGCTGTAATAAGTAGTGATTTGAATTAATGAAAGAAAGGAGTACTTAAAAGTGGTATTCGTTGTTCCTTTTACATTGTATATTCACATGCAGAATTGGCTAATGTTGGCTATCTTTGCAAAAATAAACAACTTTTTCCTCCTTTTAAAGTAAATTTAGGAATGGAATGGTCAAAAAAATGGCTCTCATTCTTAACTAAATTGTGTAAAATGTAACAGAGTTCCTTTTCATGTTGGCATGGTGCAATTAAAATTGTATTTTTAAAGGAAGACTATATAAACATCCCTGTGGGGGTTTATCTTTTGCATTGCAACATAACAGGATAAAGGTCCAATTAAGCTTGCCTGTGGAGCAGTTGCTCTATGAAACCTTGAAATATTTACAGGTCAGGGAGAAGGAAAATATGCTTTAAGGAGAATGTCAAAAAGGAAATGTGCTGTCAAGTGAACTTAAACAAAGCACCTTTGTGCCCTAGAAGACAATGGTAAACACAGTTTCATTCACTTGAATGCAATGTAGTTGGCTTGAGACGTACTCCTTATTAAGTGATAGCCAAGAGACTGTTTCATCAACTTCTCTGAAAATAGGAATAGTGACTTCCAATCTACCATAACTGTCCATGCAAAATCTACCAAGCTGTATGAAATCATATACTAACTTGATCTTATTGAAAGTCTGAATCTTTTGTTGTCTTCTGTTTTTACGAAACTATTGTAAATTGTATACAGGAACACTCTCCACCCTGTTAAGAAATCTGCATCTTTGGAGGATTCAAATTGGCTGTCAGTTATCTTTCAAGTGTGTTATGGAACTCTTAATAATCTCTTATTTAAAATTTTCTTATTTTCCTGTGAAATCCCTTTACAATTGCAAATACTTCAGAGATTTTTCCTTGGCCTCTTTAAGGAAAAAAGAAAAAAAAAAGTCAAGCTCTTAATCCTTCTTTGTGTGATGTTGAAAAATTCACATGTATTTATTCTCACATTCTGTTTATTACATTATTATACCAAGTCAGCCATCTTTTTACTCCCATCCTTTTTTATGTTAATAACCAAAATAACATGTCTCTCCGCCTCTGGGTGTCAAATGCATAATTTTGTGGTTATGGTGTTTCTTTCTACTAAGGGAATCCCAAAATCAGATGTCTACAGTTGCATCGAGAAGGAGACTATATTCTTTTGATGATGGATTGAATGAAGAAAAGCTTCCCCCTATGCTACCTGTGTCAGAAGCCTATTCCCAGAGTGAGAGAGTAGAAGAGAAAGGAACGACTTATCCGACAGAAATTCCTAAGTGGGATTCTACAACTTTTGCAAAAAGGGAGGCTACTGTCACAGCTGAAGTTCAGTTTCCTTCTAGAAGCCCCGTGGAAGAACAGCGCCCAGTCTCTTTGTCTTCTCAGCATTCACTGAATACACAAATGGAGTCGACTCGAGTTTCAGCAACTCTCCCCAGAAGTTACCAGAAAAGCGATGCGGCCAGGTTAACATCTGTGGTCACACCGAGACCTTTTGGCTCTCAGTCAAGGGGAATCTCATCACTCCCGAGATCCTACACGGTAAACATGTTCCCCATTCCCTCAGTCTGTTCTCCAGCGCTAAACACTGGTGAATTTGTGCAGAGGTTTCTGTTAGAGATATTAGATATGTAAAGTATACTTAACTTTATATAAAGCAATTGTATTTTTGTCTATTTAGATTCAGACATTTAATGCTTAAAATACAGCAACAATGCAGAACTGATTAAATTTCAAATTCAGTGAAAGTAGAGCTGACACATTTTTAAAAATAAACTACATCCCAAGGCAGAACATTTACTTAAAAAAATTTTTTTTTTAGTTTTTAGAATTTATTTTCATTGGAGGATAGTTACAATATTGTGATGGTTTTTGCAATATATCAGCATGAATTGGCCACAGTGTTTATGTGTCCCCCCATCCTGAACCCCACTCCCACCTCCTTCCCCACCCCATCCCTCTGGGTTGTCCCAGAGCACCGACTTTGATTGCCTTGCTTCATGCATCGAACTTGCCCTGGTCATCTATTTTACATATGGTAATATGCGTGTTTCAATGCTATTTTCTCAAATCATCGCACCCTGGCCTTCTCCCTCAGAGTCCAAAAGTTTGTTCTTTACATCTCTGTCTCTTTTGCTGCCTTGCATATAGAATCATTGTTACTGTCTTTCTAAATTCCATATATATGCATTAATATACAGTATTGGTGTTTCTCTCTCTGACTAACTTCATTCTGTATGATAGGCTCCAGTTTCATCCACCTGTGGCACATACACACAATGGAATATGACTCAGCTATAAAAAGGAATGCATTTGAGCATTGACTTTTTAGTGTCATATTTTCTCAGATGTATCTATTTTAAAGTACTGTGTGTGTGTGCAGTTGCTTCCAATTCTTTGTGACCCCATGGACTGTAGCCTGACCATGAAATTCTCCAGGCAAGAATACTGGAGTGGGTTGCCATTTCTTTCTCAGGGGATCTTCCCAACCCAGAGTCTCTTGAACCCCTTGTACTGGCAGGCAGATTCTTTCCCACTGCACCACCTGGGAAGCCCCATTGTAAAGTCTTAGGTTGTACTATATGAAGTTGCCAGGAGTTAGTTCTTTTTGACCTGTGAAACAGCGGTTTCATGCAGTTTAACCTAAATATTTTCAGGTGATAATGCCCAAATTTTCTATGTATCCTCATTTCCCACTTCATTAGAACTTGATACCCTTGAATGTAGTTATTAAAATGTATCTCATGGTTCAAAAAAAATACATATTTTATTGGGATTTTAAAGAATATAGAATCATTTGCTCTGAGAATGAAGCAGTGCCATCCATGTACCTGAAAGTGATTGTATTAATTTGAGTTATATAAAAGGAAGCAAGACAGTCTTGAGCACTTTGGTGTTCAAATTCCTTTTACCTCTGCCTATGTAGAATCCTAAAAATCTAAGAGAAAAGATTTGATTAAAAAAATTCAAAGTGAGGAAAGCCTGCCTAAACTGACCAAAAAAACTCATGACCATTATATTAAGTAAACACAGACATATTTGACAACATAAAAATTAAATTTATATGATAGACACCAATTAATGTAGTCAAAAGACTGCATTTATATAGGCTCAGAAAAATATTAGTAAAATATATTTTATATATAGGTTTAATATCCCTAAGATTTAAAATGCTCCTACAAACTGATAAGGAAAAGATAAACAGTAGAAAAGTGGATGTATAAATGATTGACTAGTTCAAGGGAGAGGGACTTTGAATGGTTGGTTACATAAAGCACATAGAAGCATGTGTAGTCTTATTAGAGAAAGCATGAAGTGTACAGCTTTTTACCCATGAGATGACAAAGATTTAAAACGTTCAAAATGTGTGGTATTGACAAGGATGCAGAGACACTGACATTCTTACATGTTAATTTGGGAGTGCACTGCTACAGTTTTTAAAGAAATATGTGTGTGTGTGTGTGTGTATACAAAAGTTATATTTTATATTATACATATAAAATATTCTTTGGTTAAGTTTACTTTTGGGAATTTATGCTATAAAAATAAACATGCTGGTATGTGTAATATCTTGGGCACACTTTAAATGACATTGAAGCATAATCAAATGAATAAATTATAGATATCCATAGTGTGGAGTATTCAACTGAACTAGTTTAGATTTCTCTCTGTTGACCTGGAGTAATGTAAATGAGCAAAGCATGTTTTAAAGGTCTGTTTATAATATAAACACTTCTGTAAAATCAACTGTTCCTCCCACTTCATATGTGCATATCTGTCAGTGTCAAAGAACATGCTCCAACCTTTTAGTAATAGCGACTTTGCTGTGGGAGGGATATGTTACTCCTATTACTTTAAAATATTAATCTAATGTATATACTTTTAAAATAGAAATCTAACAGAACAGCAAGTTTACAATGATGTTTCCTCTTTAGATGGATGATGCTTGGAAGTATAATGGAGACATAGAAGGCATTAAGAGAACCCAGAGCAGTTCGATCAGCATCTCTGTGCAAAGACCGGACACAAGCCAGCTTGCGTCCAGCTCATCCAGCGAAAGAGAGGCCGACGCGCCCAGAGAAAGTGTGATGCGATTGCCCTCACCTACACCTCCCTACTCATCTCTTTCCCAGGATCAGGCTGCCACTTCTAAAGACACATTGTCTTCAATATCTAGCCCTGATTTAACATCTGAGCTTGGAGAAGGGAGAAGCTTGCCACAGGCAGAGGTCCCCAGGTCACAGGTGAGTTTGGAAAGGCTTTTTAATAACATACTGCTCAAAAACTTAAGGATTTAAATCAGAAAACCATGTTTCTCACCTCTGGGCATGACAGTCTGGGCTGATAATGTAGTAATTGATATTGCATTTTATTTTTAACAGACCTTGGAGGAGGTAGATCTCTTCCAACTCTGTTGATGGATCCAGATGACCCTTATGCTATGGGTGTAAGGAGACTTTTTGGACCAGTCTCCCTCTAGTTAGGCTGGGTTTGCTCCCGACTCCCCATTTCAGCAGCTGTTGACTTGCACTGCTGGTGCTCATCAGTCCAGGTCCAGGTGCAAGGGTAACTCGGGGAGTTTTAGATGCAGGTCTAGTAGTTAAATGGGTAATAAAAGCCACTTCTCGGGAAAGTGAACTTAACCACAAGGAGAAATTGATACATATGAGAGGGCCTGGCCTGTAAGGACATGGCACTTCTTTTTTACCATATGAAAGGTGTGGTGGTGGTGGTTTAGTTGCTAAGTCGTGTCCGACTCTTGTAACGCCATGGAATGTAGCCTGCCAGGCTCCTCTGTCCATGGGACTCTCCAGGCAAGAATACTGGAGTGGTTTGCCATTTCCTTCTTCAGGGGATCTTCCCAACTCAGGGATTGAACCGGGGTCTCCTACACTGCAGGCAGATCCTTTACCGACTGAGTTACCAGGGAACTTAACCACAAGGAGAAATTGATACATATGAGAGGGACTGGCCTGTAAGGACATGGCACCTCTTTTTCTAACAATGAAAAGTGTAGTGACTTGCAATATTAATTTATACTCTGGAAAGTCTAGAGTTTTATACCATTCCTTGTCTTATAAGGGTAATATTGAGCCTTAGTTACGGTATGAAAATTGCATTCTTTAGCATTTGGAGTCCAAATAAAATGTACCATCAGAAGAGGAATGGGGGCATTTATAGTTATTTCCTACTTAAAATCTGATAGATAGCTTTAAGAGAATTATTAGGTAATGAATGTTCTTTTACTATGTTTTTACACATAGGCTAAAAAGTTGTTGCTTGTCTGCATGTATGCTAAGTTGCTTCAGCCGTGTCCAACTCTGTGAGATCCTGTGGAATGTAGCCTGCCAGGCTCCTCTGTCCATGGGACTCTCCAGGCAAGAATACTGGAGTGGGTTGCCTCCTCCAGGGGATCTTCCCGACCAAGGAATCCAACCCAGGTCTCTTAGATCTCCTGCATTGATAGGCAGGTTCTTTACCACTAGTGTCACCTGGGAGGCCCTGTTGCTTGTCTAGAGAATCGAAAGAAATTTTTCTCTTTTTGGAAAAAGCCTTCATTAAGCAATCTGATAGTTGTATGAACCCTTTAGTGTGGAGGTGCTTTTATGGCCCCGTGACTTGGTCTAGCCTTCTCTGGAACCTTACTAGAGTGTATATTTTCCAAGGCACAACATCAAGTATATAGCTTGGCCTAAGTTATATTAATGAAATACCTTTGTGTAAAATATGATATAGTGTATTTTAGTATCATTCATTTTTATCAGTACAGCAAAGCTTTACAAGTTTAGAGTACGCTTTTTCTCTTCATGATTATAAAAGACTCTGTGCTTGAGAAAATTTGGGAATGTAGGAAAATATACATAATAAAAATGGTTGGGTAATCCCATCATTCAGGGAGATTCTTTAACACTTAGGTATATCTCTTCCAGTTTTTCTATCCATATTTATAAACGTATATAAGCCAATTTCTTCAGGTTGCTAAAAAAAAAATCATTCGTTGTAAATTATGTTTTAACTTCCATTTTAAAGAACTGGGAATATATAATTAGCATCATATAAGTCTCAGTGGATGAGAAGAGTAGCCTCTGTTGCCCTTGGGGATCATAAGGTGCCAGTGGATGAATAATAGAGAGCAAGGTGCCTTTTGTTTTATGGACTTGCCGGTTTGCCTTCCTCTTTTCAAACATCAGATCCCACGGAGCAGCCTGATTACTGTTTCGTGTGCTCAGTGATGGCAACTCCCTCAGGGTGACGGGACTAGCTGCCTCTGTGGATTAAGAAAAAGCCTGAGTGTGGGTGTGTGTTCCAGGTCAGAGCAGTTCAGAGGAACCCGAGTTCCCATGGCGTGGTTTCAGGTTTCTTCATTAGTGCATTTATGCCTTTAGTCACCCAACTTGAAGTGGAATGCTACCAGGCAAAATTAGGCTTGAATTAATAAGTGGAGCAAAAAAAAATATATAAGTGGAGCGGTTGGAATTCAGTTGGAATTCTTGACCAAATGTCTATGTTATAGGATCACTTGCCTGTTCTGGAGATGCTTGATGTGTCCACTTCCACACTCTTGAGGAAAGTGACGTGTATAGCATTGCCCTGCTCTTATCACACAGAGGGTGCTTGCTGACCTGGGAAAAGGGTGTGGAATGCACAGAACAGACTAAGACCGGTATGGCAAGGGTGTATGCAACATGCCTGCAAATTATCCAATTCTAGGAGTTCAGAGTAGAGAAAAATAAAAAGTAGTGTCTGGCTGAGCATTGAGATGTCTTTCTCTTTTAACTGAAGCATAATTGATTTGCAGTATTCTATTGGTTTCAGGTGGACAACTTGGTAGCTTTGTAAAAGAGTGTTCTTCAGGTCTTCTTCCTTTACTACATGTGTGTGGGCAGTATCCTTTCCTGTCTTCCTACAGCATCTCTCTTGATGTTGTTAAACCCTTTTCTATCCTTGCTCCCGCTACCCTAGTTCTAGCCCTTTCCCTCATCAATGCAAACACTTTGTAAATAGTCACAGATCTTTGTGCATCCTACCCAAGGCTGGCCCCAGATTAATTTGCATGATGCCAGGCTGGATTGGATAACTTCTCTGCTTCAAAGGCCCCAGTGGCATGCTGTGGCTCCTTCAGTGAAGTTCAGAGCACTCAGGGGAACACTGCGGGTCCCTCATGACTGGTGCCAAATTCTCTCTGTAGCGCTGGCACAGCTCATGTTTACTGAATGCTTGTCATGTCAGTAGGCTTGGCAGGGCATGATTTTATTGAATCCTCACAATGAACCTCTTATTGCTGTTTTGTCGCTGTGGAAATTGAGGCATGAAGTGGTCGTGATACTTCGCCACGTCCACACAGGGTACTGAGTGATGGAGTCAGGATGTGAACTTAGGCCATTTGGCTCAAGATTGCCTACACCACCCTGTGTTGTGAGAAAGAGAGGGGAAGTAGCTGAAAGCTCCTCACATGAGACTGCTTGACTTCTCTGAAACACACCATTTACTTTCATGAACACATCATGTGTATTTTTGTTCTTATTGTTGCCCTATTTTAAAATGTTCATTTTAACCATCTCTGTATTTTGAAGTCTTCCTGTTCCTTCAAAGCCCAGAGGATTGGTTCCTTCGTGGATCAAGATGTCTGTTTCCTTTCTCTTGTTGGAACTGAATTTTTCACCCTTGAAAGTTTCATTTGCTGAATTTTTTCTTGTCCATATGTTTGTTTCTCCTTCACTGGTATTCTTCCCCTGTGGCTCAGACTGCCTGCAATGCAGGAGACCCAACCTGGGTAGGAAGATCCCCTGAAGAAGAGAATGGCTACTCACTTCAGTATTCTTGGCTGGAGAATTCCGTGGACAGAGGAGCCTGGTGGGCTACAGTCCATGGGGTCACAAAGAGTCAAGACATGACTAAGCAACTGACACTTTCATTGTTTTTACTTTTTGGCTTTTACCCATAGCTGGCATTTAAGGGTTTACTGACATGAATTGCATTCAAGGCCTTGATGACTAGACTGAAGTATGAACTTGATCCAGCAAGTTGTTTAGGTCCTTATATGTACTTTAATGTGGGAATTTTAGGATTAAGGGGTATTAAAGGAATGGGAGCACTGTGATGTTCTAGAGAATTATTTTAAGGAGGTGAAATCTAAGGGCAGAGATGGGCTAGTAGCCTGACACAGAATTATGGTATGAAGGGAGTTCATAGCATAAAGAGCAAAGACTTAATGAAGGAAGAGCGTAATTGACCTCATTTAAAATCTGCTCAGGAATTTCTTTCTCATCTCCATTGCTGATCTGGAGTTTTATATCTCTCTCTTTCCCTTCCTTCCCTACTTCTTTTATGGGAGTGCTTCTTTTTCCTTCTCCCTTGCCAATCCAGGCTAACAGGGCAATTCTCGGGGGAACCCAGAGCAAGAGGGAACAGTTTGGCTCCCAGAGTGCTCCAGCCTGCTCCGACTGCCTTGAATATGTGCCTTTTCCCCGCAGAAGGGTGTTGCCCAGGTTTTTGTTTTGTTTTTTGTCTTGTCCGAGCCCTCTGCTTTCAAATCTCAACCAAATCCTTATTTCAGGACCTTTGCTCCAGATTATTAAATCAGAACCCAGAATCAGGATGATAAATGCATGTGGAGGGAAGGAAGCTTTTTACACTTCTGATGCCCAAGTCTACAATAGTGCCTCTTTTAAGAGTACCCAGGTTTTCCCTTCTCACAGCTTCCTCCTGTGCATCTTACCTGCTTGTCACCTTCACTGGACCCTAATCTCTCCAAGGGTGGGAAGCTAGTCTATTTTGCTCACTGTTAGTGCAGTGTCTGTACCTGTAAGTATTTGCTGAATGCTGACCGAGTTCTATTATAATAGCTTTAGAGCCATGTGTGTGAGAGTTAAATAAGAATTTCTTTTGTTGTTCTGGAAACTGCCTAAGCAGAATATATTACCATGTATAACATTGTTTCCATGGGAAAAAGAAGTTAATTAATGGGCATCACCTATGTGCCTTGGCACCTTTTAAATGTTTCATTTAATCCCCTCAATAACTTAGCAAAGTATGTGGTATTATCCTCACTTTTACCAGTGAAATACTTGAGATTTGAAAGTTATGTAACATGCCCCAGGCTGGTTAGATTCTTAGGCCACAGTTGCAATTTCTCTGACCCTAATTTATTTTTTTTTGAAATGTGACATGCTTAAATTGGAAAAGAACCTTGTATCTAGTTAAAACACCAAATGTTGACTTATTTTAACATCGCCATGTGCTT